GGTAATTAAATTTAGTGTAATCTACTGAACATGTCAAAAGGTTTAATACATTTTGGTGTAAAAACAAAAGGGCAGAATTGAATGTGAGGGTAGAAGACAGCAAGAGAAGAACAAAATTCAAAAGGGAACAAAGCTTAAAGGACTTTTTTGCATCCAGAAGAACAGGTTTCCATTTTTAGGAGCAGGCAATAACTATGATGACTTCAAAAATTTAAAAAAATAAAAAAGCTTTTCAGCAATCCATGCAAAAGCAAACCCATTTTTCTTAATGGGTAGTTTAAAAAAATCCAAAAACCAAATCTATCACGGACTACTCTTAATCGGCAATGTTCTTTTGACCCAAGTCACGAATGACTAGGGCATTTTGGGAAACCTAAGATAGATTGTTGGTAAAATTTATAATTCTTGCCACTTGCACCTCCCTCCACCCCACCCCTCCAAGATTGCCGATTTGGGCAGGGGGTTCATGTGGGTGAAGGGAACGTTGGGGGTAGGAGCCATCAATTTTATCAACGGGGAATTGTAGGTGTCCTAGGTCCTTTTGAGGTCAAATTATCTCCGGTCAAAAGACCATGGTGACTCTAAATATGTTCAAAAAATCAATCTTGTAATGTGCATCCTTTATTAATTGTTAATTTTTGCACATCCAATAAACTTTGATTAACTAATACTCCGGGTAGAGTACACTCAATTCTATTGTATAAGACCTTCTAAGACAGAAGGTCAAAAATGACCATTTGTGAAAAGGTGTCATAAAAAATCACGAATGTAATATTTGATGATAAAAAAAACTAAATATGCAATATTCATGTTATAAATGGAGAATTATAAAATTTCGATGTACCCAAAAATGATGGTAGATAATTAATGAAAAACTGAAGAAATAATTGATACTTTCTTCATCCCTCATAGATCTTTACTTTAGTCTTTTTTATTTATTCGTTATAGATTTTATCATGATTTTTTAACAATTAAAATGTTACAACTAGTCACACTTTATTTTTACACCTCACCCACTTGATTTAATGCACTTTACTCATTTTTATTAAGAATATTTTGATAAAGTTTCATTTATGTTTTTCAACTCTCCTTATTAAAACCATAAAAAAGCAAAACTAGAAGATCAATCACCATATATAGTGGGATGTCCTTGATTCGTGGGAGTGCATAAAAAGGAATATTGTCAAAGAGAGTTGAATGGCATAATTAATGGTAAGACGGTCGTCACAAAAGATCGATCAGTGAATGGATTACCAATATTACTGTGGCGAAGCTTTGTATTGCATAATACGAACTTGCAATTAGGTAATTCACCCATGGAGTTTTTTAAATATGATTTGATGTAATTTTTTAATATAAATTTTATTTTAGAGTTTTGTATCATTAACTTATTTAAGTAAGATAAATTATAAATAAACTCAAACAAGTCTCGTTATGTTATTCATAAGAGAACAATAAAGTTGGGCAGTGAGAGTATCGGATGGATCATATATCATTGACCCAACCCAACGCGTTGGATGGGGTCCCAACTACACCAAGCTAGCTACTGCACCCGTAGTTTAAGCCCCAAATCACCCAATACTGACACCAACCACCCTAGCTGAAGACGAGGTCGACTATACACCAACTTAACAAGACAAGGCCGGGACGCGCTCCCGAGATGACCACACCTGAAATCTTCGAACTAGGCTCATAATCTTGAGCTTGATGCATCTCTTTTATCATCGGGCCTAGATATCTCCTATCAGGGTATACATTGCAGATAATATATAGAAGGGAGTACAACCTCAAAGAGGATTAGATTTCAATAATAGAAGCTAAAATACGAAGACTATCATAACAAAGATAATTATTACTATTGCCTAACAGTAATGTGTGATGTCAGTAGACGTTGCACAGTTGGTAAGACAAGAAGTGCACATGAATTAACACCAAAATTATTTCAATTTACCTTTTTTTAAAGTGATCGTTCTATCATTTTCACAAAGGAGATGAGTTCATCTTTTTTATGAGTAGGTAATCTTATGATGTTTGTTTGCGACCATAGTTACGACACTCCCCACTGGTGTGTAAGAGATTTTTTGCCCGCTTTAAATTTATGGGATTATATCTAAAGCCTAAAAACATGCATGTGTCAATCTTGTTACTGTTTCAACAACAGGGATGATATATAAAGGATGTGATATTTTGGGTTTTATAGCAATGTACTCATTTGCTGCTTGAACAAGTTATTCAACACAATGGCAACCGTTACTTTCAGTGTTCTCTCCCACATTTTATGAATAATATTAGACCAAATGAAAAGAGTGGTTTAGATAAAATTTCATATCAGGACATACATAACAAGATCTTGAGCCAAGAGGTGGGACGGGATCGGAGGTGGTGGTGGGATGGAGGATGGTGGCCGGAGGTGCAGACGATGGTGGGGTGACCGTTGGACCGCCGCCGGTAAGGGATGAAGATGACATGTTGGACAGAGGCGAAGATGATGCTGCGGGTAGGATGCAAACGAACAATAGAGTCGGAAGGCTGATTGGTTGTGACGGAACTCGTTTCAGAAGAAGAGGATTTGGAGGAAGGGATAACAAATGAGAGTTGGATTTATCAAACGAGATGTCCCGTGTGTGAAAAATGATGTGTATCAAGGTCATACATACGTCATGATTTTATACCACAAGGATAACAGACAAACATACACTTAATGCGAATTCTGGGAGTAAATTTGGGGGGAGGGTGTTAGAGTTGTGACGAGCGAAACATAAGCACCAAAAAACACATAATTGACTCAAGTTACGAAATTTATTTGTGAGGATTTGAAGAGGAGACTTACTTAGCAAGGAGTTGGTATGAGTTTCGTTGATAAGATAAACATCAGTTTTTACACATTCACCCTAGAACTCTAAAGAAAGAGACCCTTGAAACATTAGGGCTCGAGCGACATTTAATATGTATCGTTGCTTGAGCTCAACATGCCCACTTTGCTGTGGGATACCAACACAAGAGGTTTGGATACATACTCCAATGAATTATAGTAAGTACGAAGAGAGTGGTTAAGAAATTCAATTTCATTACGAGATTGTTAAATTTTGATGACTTTATTGTACTGCCTTTGAATCAGAGAAATGAATGTCTTAAGACATGATGTATCCTCACTTTTATCCTTTATAAGGTACACCCAAATAGCTCTAGAGTAATCATTAACTATTGTAAGAAAATAACGCAGAATAAAGACTCCATAAATAATAATGAATTGAGTAAAACATAGCATAACCTTTATTGAGACTAATAGGAAAATATGAATGAGTTTGCTTAGACAAAAAACAAATTTCAGAGCTTTGTAATTTTTTGACAACAAAGTTACTTTTATTTAAACTAAAAAGAGATGAAATCTTTGGTGAAGGATGACCCAAGCGTTGGTGTAGGAGAAGAGGACAAGCGGTGGTGTGGGCGGCGGTATATGGCTGGCAAAAGTTGAAAACTCCATTACGAAATTTGCCCCGTTTGATTCTCGTCTGTTACAAACGGTTTTGTATTACACTACTTTGATCAGTAAAAAGAATATGACAAGTATTACTATGAATAAAACGATCAATAGAGATCAAATGCGAGTGTTTAAATTTTGCACAAAAAGAACCTCAGTAAATAAGAGAATTTAAGAAAGTTGTACTTTCCCTTGTTTTGCCTCAATATTGGATCCATCAGGTAGATCTAAAAATTTGAGTTTACCGGGTTTTGATTTATATGATGTTCAGTTGAATGAGAAATTAATTCATAAAATCAAACATTTGGAAAGAGTAAAAACTCATGCATCCCACATCAAATTTTAGACCTTTCATCTTCCACCATTTATATGATTGCGTTGAATTGCATTGTACAACAATTTGAGGAGGAAAGAAAGACCCCCTCATGCACCTTCATCGTCGTCATTTATCCAGCACGACATGACATGCACGAGCGCGCGTGCGAACGCGTGTTGGCTTGTGGCGTGAACACACCCCATAACTCGAATACTCTATCCCTGAATTCCAACTCTCTCTCAGATGCTGAGATTCTTCTCCGATGAGTAACTCTCATTCGTTCTTGTTCGTCGGTGCATCGTTCCTCTACTCTAGACTTTTCACGTTGCAGTTTTATCCTGGGGTTCGTTCTCATTCGCTCAGTCCACCGTTGTCTAGGCCAATGCTTAGAAGTTTCGTACCTTTGACGTCCAATTTTTCTCTTTATTTCTTTCGAACAGATTATAAGATCGGATTATTTCGATTTTATTTTTCCCGCTGTAATATCTATTCTACAAGTTGTATCTTAGATTATACATCACAAGTGTGTATTTTCATTGTGTGTCAATGTAATGACTCTACAAAATATTATTTTTTTATCCTACTAATATATTATGTTACTTTGAAGAAAATTTACTTAAATAATACTGAAACATAATGATTTTCCGTGAATAGCATCATATGCATTTTTCTCAATGTAACACTTTTAATCATTATCTACTCCCTTCGCCCCCCTGTATTTGTCCACTTTCATTTTTGCATACCATTCAATGCACTTCTTTATTCCATTTTATCTTGTAATTTGTATATTAAAAAATTATAAAAATTATATATTAATAATCTATATGTTAAGACAAATCAAACAAGATCACACATGACTATATTTAAGCTTACACATTGAGAGAATTTGATGAGTCAAAGTGCTTAGATGAACAGTTCCAAAAGTCAAATGTGGACAAATACAAGGAGACGGATGGAGTATTAGTCATTATTCAAATAAATGTTCGTCGTCATTGGACATTGTTCTTCCTTCTGGATATTATTAGATGCTACTTAGTAAATAAAACAATTTAAGTGACATTTAAAAAAATAAGTTAAGTTTTAATACTATTTAGTATAGATATTTCTATTATAAATTATCAAACAGTTGGTACGTACTTTTGAGGTGCATTTTGAGACAAAATCTTTGGTGTATCTCATAGTTGTAAATCTAAATACCGACTTTAACGGGACACCTTTTTTTTGTCACACACATGACACACACCCTATAGCAATAAAAACATCATTAAATATCACTTCCCATAGGGATTTGACGTATACCTATATATTTTGGCCCATGACCCCATCCCACACTATTGAATCATTTCTAAGCTCATAAATCTCTCTAGTGAGAGGGAGCAGAGAAAAGGAGAAAAAAGGGGAGAGACTTTATGTTGGTGGACCCCATCCTGCCGCGCCGGCGATGTCATCACCACCACCGTTCCCCGGCCAACGGCGGCGGCGGTCTTCGGTCAGCTCTGCCTCCGCGTGCTTTCTCCTTGCGGCGGTGTTGGTTTTAATCGTCATCCCCGCGCTGCACGGCGGCCGGCTGAGTGCGGCGGCGGCGATACGGGTGTTCCCGCGTGCTGCGGCGGCGGAAGAACAGAGGAAGGTTGTCGTACGAGGTGGTGGTACGAGGAATGGAACGGCGTCGTTTCTGGAGAGCGAGAGAAGAGTTCCCAGCTGCCCAGATCCTCTTCACAACTAGTAGGGGACCAATTATTGTTAGCTGTCTATTTTTTTTAATTTTATTTTATTTTAGTTTTTAGGTTATTTTATTTGTTTGATGAAACTTAATTAATTATCTATATTTTGTCCAAAATACCCACGTTTTTCTCTTAATTATAGACGTTTTTTAGGATGATCTTTTGCTGTTTTTTTTTGGATTCGCAGAGGAAACCGTGGGTATTTTGGTACTTTACAAAAAATGAAATCCTTTTTTTTCCTCGGACCATTTTTTTCTTCGTGTATATGCCTTCTGTTTCTACTTTCTAAGTTAATTCCGAAATGATATTAAAAAAAAAAATTGATTTCCACTCCCTTTTATCCAAAATAAAATGCAGTGTTTAATTTATGATGACTGGTTGAATTTATTATAATTTAAAAATTATATCAAAAAATATATATATACTCCGTGAAAAATAAGAGATAACGTGATTATATTTTTTCACTACAAAGTACTCTCTTGGCCTTAAGAATATTGAAGATTTTGTTTTTTTAAGGATTTAAGTGGAATATATTTTGATGTTAAGTTTTCAAAAATGAGTTTAGATATGATACGTAAAAGTAGAATATTATAACTAGATTAATAGTGAGTAGATTTGATGTGATATGCAGATTAACAATTAGTAAGGATAAAAATGATTTTTCAATAAACTCCTCAATAAGCTTAAATTACAAATTTCTTTGAATATTTCTTAAAATTACCCAAGAAAATGGGTAATAATTTAGGGTAGAAAAGAAAATTCAATAACATGAGTATGGGGGGAGGGGGTTAGTTACATACTTACCTGTTTAGTGGCCTCTCATTAGTCATTTCAGAGCTTATCAATCAGAGATTTCTTTCGTGTGTTTTGAGTAATTTGACACTTTTTACACTGATTTTTAGATACAACTTAGAGACTATTTTAATTTTATTAGGGTGTAAAACAGAGTATTGTCAAAAAAAAGGGTGTAAAACAGAGTAATTGATATTGAAATTAAAATTAAAAAGTTAAATATTTATGTCAAAATTTTTGTAAAAGCAGAGTTGATGTTTGAGATTTATTTTATTTTATTAAATATTTAATGAAAATATTCAAATGAACAAAAGTTACCGTCCTTTTTGAATAGTGCAGTATACTCCGTACTACGTATTTTTAATCCAAAATATATTGCACAGTAAGTTCAGCTTTAAAATGAATTTGTATTTAATTTAGCGAGAAATATCTGATAATGACTATATTTTGATTTATATATCAAAATCGTATTTTCAATTTTTTTATTAAAAAATTGGAATTAATTACTCTATATGCCCCAACACAAAATGTTAACAAATACTACCTCCGTCCCATTGTCTTTGTCCACATTTGACTTTTGGAACTGTTCATCTAAGCACATTGACTTATCAAATTCTCTTAGGTAGTGTTTGGCAACTAGCATTTCATTTCAATTCATGCATTTCAATTCCTAAATTTGAAATCTTGAATTTCAAATGACAAGGGGAGGTGCATGGATTTCAAATTAAACTTTGTTATGAATGAGAAGAATTTGACTCAAATCCAAATTCAAAATTTTTAAATTTTCCAAACATGGAATTTGAGTTAAATCCAGATTTGAAATCCAAATCCATGTTCCCAAACATACCATTAATGTGTAAGCCTAAAAATAGTCATGTGTGATCTTGTTTGATTCGTCTTAAGATATAAATTATTAATATATAATTTGTATAATTTTTTAATATACAAATTACAAGATAAAATGGATTAAAGAAGTGCATTGGATAGTGTGCCAAAAGGTAAGTGGACAAACACAGTAGGACGGAGGGAGTATCATCAAATGCCAATATATAATGTTAAATTGTACGGAGTAGCATTTTAAGGTATCAATGTTCTTATTTAAAAGATAAGAGTATACTCGGTATATTTTATGAATTTTTATTTTGATTTAAGAACCCTCATTTACGCAATTGGACATTGATAATTTGATAGTGTTCGGTTCTTTAATGATTAAAATCTATGCGTATTAAAATTATCTTATTAAATTTATATTTAAGAAAAAGTAGATTACGTTATTATTTTTTGTACAAGTTCCGATTAGACACATTTATACTGACTAATTTTTTAAACACAGAAAAAAATATAACTTAAAAGTTAATTACATCCTCTATCTCTAATTTTTTTGCTTAATTACTATTCATGGTGTCAAATTTTATTTTTTTCTAGGTCAATTAATACTACTTATTTGATAAAATAACACTCCCTCCGTTCAACAATAACGTTATCGTTGCGCGTTACGATGTTTGACTAAAGCTATTTTCAAATTAATTTATATTAAAAATTGTATGGAATTAAAAAATAAAAATTATATATTTAAAAACTACGTGAAAAGATTTACAAAATTAAAGGTAACATGACTATATTATTTTATTAAATAGACAATGAAAATACGTCAATAATGTAAATAAAATCTGATTTTGTGAATAGTGAACGTGAACATTTTTGTTGGACGGAGGAAGTATATAGTATGTTAAGTAAAACTTTTCAATTATAAATCATAATTTGCAATAAAAATAAACTTTATTTTAAAACGAAAAAAAAAAATCATGATGAAATTTATTCTTAAATTACATTTGGCCCGACTTAAACCCGACCCATATATCTACTTTCTTGGCCTAGACTTTATTACTGTGGCCATTTAAGGGTAGATATTTTCTGAACATATTTAATTTCAACAAGACTTCAGAGCCTCTGAACCTTCTGTTTCCCCATTTTGGTGTGCCATGTGCCATATTTACTATGATTGACGAATAATTGATTGATGATCTATTAATTACTTAATTTAATTAGCATTGTTTAATTATTACACGAAGTAATTATTATTTTTTCCGCCCAAAAAAGATTGTCACAGTTTTATATGTCTATCAAATTGTGGTAGTTTTTTACCACGAATTAAATATGATTAAAATAATTAAATATTATAAAAACTTAATTTTTCAAATCAACATTTTAAACTAGACCCATTTTTACTAATTTAATATTATAACTAAATATATATTTTTTCTATTATTCGCAGTTAAATAATGATGTCACAGTTTGACTTTATTGTGTCAATCTCTTAGAAGGGAAGAGAGTAATAATTAACAAGTCACGGTTATGAGTGATTAAATGGACAAATTACTTAAAAAAAGAACAATAGAAAAGTTCTATTCATCCGACAAAAAGTTGTGTAATACTTCTGAAACTATGTTCTTAAATACGTTCGAGTACTGTGGATTTTAATTATCTAATTTTTTGTCGCCCTAAGTTTAAAAAAATTATGGGAAATCTCAATGAAATAGCTAATTGGTCTCCCTTGTGTTGAGATAACAAAAATCTCAATTTACTTAATTAATATCTTATTGAGAGATGTGTTAAATACTTAAATGGTTTATCTCATTGTTTACTCATGTGGAGTGTTTTTTTGGGTTTTATTTTGTACTTTTAAATTGTATGTCGACATTTTCCATTAATTATATATTATCTTCGTCGCAGAGTATTTATCTATTTTGGATTTTTTCAGTCAATCGTATATAATTTTTACTCCCTCCGTTTACAAAAAGACTTCTCATTTTGATTTGGGGCAAAAATAAGGAAGTGCTAAATTATAGTTGATTTCTAATTTTGCCCCTGATGTGATGGGTAAAAGTAAGATGTGATGGATAGATTATTAGAGAAAAAGTATGATGTGATAGGTAGGGTATGAAAAAGTAAGGGTAAAAGTGGTTTTTTAATAGAAAAGGGAAGTGTTTTGTTGGAAGTGGAAAAAATGAAAGAGGAAATGTTTTTGAGAACGGAGGGAGTATTTAATTTAGCGTCAAAATTTGTCAATTTTGACCGAAAAAGTTAAAATTTGACAAGTTAAAATTTAGCTACATTTTCATCTGTGATTTTTTTTACCAAGATATTACTCCCTACATACCAAATTGTTTGTCACATTTCGAACGATGTGCAGAATATCATCTCCTTTAAAATTATTTGCAAATTAGTAGAGGAAAAAGAAAAATTACATCGTTCAAAAGTATATCAAAAGTTTACCAAAAAAAAGATGCGAAAATAATATTGTATTTTATCAAATGGTCAACCAAAACGAGTAAACAAACAAAAGTTATTCAGAACCCGAATTAGTAACTGTTGAGTATATTCTTTTTGATGGAGTATTTGTTTTTTCTCTCTTAGTTTCTCTCTCTAAGACTTTTGAGTGTTCTTGATTGTTCTTTTTTATGTCTCTATGTGTTCTTCATCTCAATTTCTGAGTTTGATCCTAACAAAATGGAAAAATCAAATTTGAACCAAGACAATATTAAAAGTTATTTGTTACTTTTTTTAGACAAAAAAAAAAGAAAATTGAACTTCAAGACCTTTTATGCAACTAGAAAAACAAGAGATTTTGTTGACTGTCATTTGACCCAAGTATTATTGGATTGTCTATATACACTATGCCCTTCCGAAGCCATTCAATCTCTTGACGTGTGATTTGATGTACCATTATCTCATCTATACAAAGCTTCCTTTTCTTTTCAAAAGTGTGACTGAATTAACATGAAAATGTACATACTCCCTATAAATTAAAAGTTCTCGTAATTTTTGAGCGATATTGTGATATTTTTAGGACGGAAGAAGGAACTTAAAAACTGTGTGAACTTTTGGCGTAGTTCTTAAAAATGTAATTTATTTTATTTTTATACCAATCCTTTAATAAAATGAATTTAAAAAATTTAAAATTTCACCTCATTTTTGACAAAAAGATTATTCTAAAACAAAAAGAGTAGGAAAATAACAGAACTACACTACTGTACTGCAGAAGACATGTGCTGCCTTGGCCTAGGGGTCAAATTACAAATAATAACGATGCCTATATGTAGCCTACTACCCTCCTAGGTTTGCAGGGTGTGGGTTTATAGGAATGTCCAAAAACTTTTGAATTTATTAAGTCTCATTCAGGCATGGGTCTCCCACCCGAACCGATAAGGCGGGCGGGTATGGATCAAACATTTCATTCGGCCACATTCATAAGCTCTCTCGTCGGGTTTTCGGTCACCCATCGACGGGAGGGTGGCTGGCCACCGGTCTGACAGACCGACCCTCCTGGTGGCTGGTCATCTAAAGAAATTTGGATGATCGATATTTTAACTTTCAAGTCTTTTCTTAACCGGTGTAAAAATCAAAGCATGTGATGGTTTTGAGATAGATTGGAGTAAATTTGAAATTACATTTCAAAATTTTACGAGACATATAGAATAATATTTAACTATGAAAAGCGGACAAAATCACAATAATGTTACTATGACGTCAATTTTGACACCAAATCGAAGTTATTAGTACAATAATTTCTTGGAAAATGCTTGGACGCCTTCGAATGGTTGTTACTATGGGTACACTCAAACTTGGTAGAGATGATTATCATTTGTCTATCTGTGCAAAACTTAGGTACACCCACGATAACCCCCTATCATGATTCTAATTCCTTTGCGGAGAATTGAACATAGAATATCACAATTAGTTTTGACACCAATTTTGACACCACCCTTTTTTCACAAGCAATCACACACACACAAAGGAAGTGGCACGTGGCAGAACTGGTGTGTGTATTAAATGCCACGTAATGTGCGGCTTCGAGGAACAAAAAAAGAAAATGGGGACTGAGACCAGATTTTGTTTGGTAGTGTTTTGGATTGGAATCTCCCATTCATTGTTTGAATGTTTTGTTTTTTTCTTCTTCTTTTCTTTTCTCTGGTTGACTCTCTCAGCTCTTCCATAAATCCATTCTTCAGCTTTATGTGCTCTTGTTGTTCTTTCATTAAGAGGGGAACAATAAATTCCAAATCTAAAAAGCATAATAAATGTTAGCGTCGTTTGGTACACGAAATTG